GTCTTACATTTGCTTTTTGCCATCAAAAAATTGTTTCTTTGTAGGCAATATATATTTTCCCCGTTAGCTGGTTTTAAAATCTTTAACGTTCTGTCATTTCATTACTGAGTCTAGAGTTTAAGAACTGATTTCTTGTTTACCTTGCTTGTAGTTCGATGTGCTTCCTGAATCTCAGCAATACCCATCTTTCCTGAATCTTGCCCATCTTGATCATTTAAACTCCTGTTTGTTAACAAAGTGAAACATACTAAATGGGTATCCTGATTTCCCAAGAAATTCCAAATATCACAGAATAGCTCTATCAAATCCTCATTTACCTTAAAAGGTAGTTTGTCCTGCATTTTAACATTTAATTTTTATAACAAAAACAATATACAAGCTTATGAATGAGGCACCTTTAAAGGTGGATAGCACTGAGAACAGAGATAAAACAAAATGGGCAAAAGTGTGAGTACCTGACAGCTCTCTAACCATGCAACAGCTGTGTGACCATGGGGATGTTGCCCAATATCACTGAAGTTTGATTTCTTTGTCTTAAGAATGAGAATGATAGATTCTACCATTCTACCATTCAGGGTTGTTGGGATTAAGTGAAGTAACACATGTAAAGTTCTATCTGACCATATTCCTTGAGGGTAGGACTGTGTTCTAGTAACCACCTGTACCAATTTATTGCTACTCAGCTCCAAATTTACCTTTCAATACAAGCTCTTTGGTAATGGATGGAATTCCTTTAAGCACATCTCTTGCACAGCAGCACGATGCTAAGATTCCTCTGGAGAATGGAGGGGCAACACGACAGAAAGAAAAGGCTTGGTCCAGCTGCTGCACAGCCCATCAGTGGTGTGGATATGAGGACATCCAGTGGTATGCATGCCCAGAACACATGCCCCTCAGTAAGCTCAGCACCAGCCCAGTCTGGTGATCACCTACCCACATCCCTGGGACACTGGGACACTACCCACCCAAGTAGACACTGGGTGTTCTGGGCCTCCCATCCACAGTGACGCTCTAATTCTCTCTGCTAGCCTTCCCCTACCCCTCAGGTTTGTTTTTCACAGCTCTCCTGACACACATATTGCATACTCTATGCCTGTCACCCACAGCCATACCCCAACTCCACTTGTGTGCCCAGCCACCAGCTGCAGATCATCTGCACCCAAGCCCTGGAGGATTGCTTTCTGTTTTCTCTGCAATTAGGACCAGCTCTGACATAAGTAATCCAGTAAATTTCTCTGCCATCAGTAGCTGTAGTCACACTATCTGCATTAATGTCTAAAGGGCATCTTGGGAAGGGGTCTACCTCCCAAGTTTGTGCTGCCTTGGGTACTCTCCTCTTTACACCTTCTAGCTACTCTTTTATTATAGTTTAATAGTACTTCATAATAAATTTCTTCTGTTTACATCACTATGTGGTTTCTGTCTCCTGACTGCACCCAGGCTGATATACCAGTGTTTCCCCTAGTGCCTAGCACAATGAACAACAAAACACATTACCTCTCCATGCAGCCCTTCTTCCCTTCTCTAGTTAGCCCTGAATCATTTCTCTTTTACTTGCTTAAAATCAAAACATTAATCAATGTAGAAAGCCAAAGTTGGAATAGACTTCTAATTCTTAATCATGTCACTATTTGGATGTTAATTGATGCCATTTTTGGGAGACTTTACCTAATTCGGTCATTTAAACTAATAACTGGAGAATTACTTCCATTCTGGCTCCTAAAGACTTCAGGTCAGATTTATTTACTTCCACTAGTTTTAAACAGGATTTTTGTTTGTTAGTCTAGTCACTCATTTCAAGGAACATAAACAGCCTGGGGGCTAATTTAGTCAAACATGTTAATTCCATCAGTGTCCATCAATAAGACTAGGACAGGGGATGCTAAGGCAGGAAAACTGAAACACAAAAGCACAGTGATTTCTATAACAGTACAACTACTCCAATACTATTTAGTTAATTTTTTTCTATGGAGCATGCCCTTGAAGCCAGAAACAATAGAATAAGTAGACTAAGAAAGAAAAGGAAATCCAAAATAAATAAAAGAGAAAAAACACAAAGTCTCTATTTTCCAGGCCTACCACTGTTGTATTCAACAGCCTTATCAGTGACTTGGATAAAACTATTTTTTTTTTTTTTTTGACAAAGTCTCACTCTGTTGCCCAGACCACTGGCGTGATCTTGGCTCACTGCAGCCTCTGCCCCCCAGGTCCAAGCAATTCTCCTGCCTTAGCCTCCTGAGTAGCTGGAATTATAGGCACCTGCCACCACGCCTGGCTAATTTTTGTATTTTACAGTGAGCCATGATTACACCACTGGTACTCCAGCCTGGGTGACAGCAAGACCCTGACTCAAAACAAACAAAAAGATGATATTTAATGTTAGTCATTAGGAAAATGCAAATTAAAACCACAATGAGATATGAATAAACACATATTTGAAGGGCTAAAATTAAAAGGACTGACAATACCAGATATTGGCAGATATGGAGAAATTGGGACTCTTGTACACCACTGGTGGTATCCCTTTAGAAAGCAATCTGGCAATTCCTTTAAAAGTTAAATGTATACCTACCATATGACCTAATGAACATTTGATAGTCATGGCCTAAAACTGAAAACCACCAAAAACGTTCACAAACACACGAATGTCTAGGCAAGCTCTGATATACCCATACAACAGATCACTGCTCTGTAATAAAAAGGGCTGAACTGCTGATATATGCAATGACAAGGAATGCATTTCAAAATAAATTATGCTGAGTGAAAGAAGCCAGCTCCTCCCAAAAAAGAGAATATACTGTTGATTCTATTTATACAAAATTCTAGAGGATGCAAACTCATCGATAAGAGAAAGGAGATCAGTGGTAGCTTGGGAACGTGGGAACTGATGTTGGGGATGAGGTGGCAGAAGGATGCGGAGGGAAGGGTTGTAAACAAAGCACAGGAAACTTGTGGGGTGATAGATATATTCACTATCTTGACTGAGATTTATTCACCAAATTATTCAACTTTAAGTATGTTTGATTTTTGCATGCCAGTTATACCTCAATGAAGCTGTTAAAAAATAAGCAAAATCAGCAGCTTACTAGGGATATGTGAAAACTTTGGGGAAGTCCTTTCTTTCAACCAGCAAAAGGCAGAACTCAAACTTATGATCAGCATCCATAAAGAGGTCACTTTTTTCCTTATATGGTGCTAGCATTAAAAAAATAAAGCCAAGAAACTCTTCTTTTACAAAATGCATATCATAGAGGCCTGCCCATTCACATTCTTCAAGCCAACTTCTAATGCAATCTGTTTCTTAAAGCCTTTTCTCATCACTCAAGGAGAAGGTAATTGTTCCCTTCAGTGAATCACCATAACACTTATGTTAATTTTCAGATATTAATTCAATGCATTTATCCATCCACCATTGTACATGTATTAAGGGCTTCATTTGGGCCAGACACAGGCTTGGCGCTAGATATACAAAAGTGAGTAGAAGGGTGTAGATTTTCCCATCAAGAGCGTAACAGGCTAGTGGCAAAAAATTGACATTTGTTTTTTAAAAAAGTAACAAAACACTATAACAAGTATTTCAGAAAAACATTAAACAGTACTACAGGAACGCAGAAGAAGAAATTTATTTTGTCAGATATACTACCTTATACCTCAGTGATGTGTCCGTTTCCTACTAGTTTAAAACTCTCTGAGAACAAGGGACTGCAACTCATTTAGTTTAGTAATCTAGGAAATTAACTAGCACAGTACCTGCCATGAGTATTTCACACCTGCATATTTGTTTGAATGAATAGACATTCTATTTCACAAACATCTGCTCTTTAAAAGGCAGGGCCACCATGCTGCCAGCTTCACACATTGAGTTCCAACCTTTATCCACTTTGTTGACAAAGGTATGGCAATAATTTGAAAGCAGACAAAATCAAAACCTAAATCTAGATCCCCAAATTCCTAAATGAATGGCCAATCTCCCAGTGAGGAATACAGGAAGGAGGTGGGGCTTGGTCTGCAGAGATCCAGGACACAAGAACGACACCCATGACTCAACTCCTGTCATGACTCCTGGGAGAGCCTGGCTTTCTACATGTTCTTGCTATCTGATATTCTTCTGCCCAGGACATTACGCATGGATGGCAGCCATCCAATCTCTAGAAGAATCATACCAGTCTTCTTGTAAAAGCAATTTCTGGGTATGTGTCAGTTTGGTCTGCTAAAATAAAATACCAGAAAATGGCTGGCTTTTAAATAACAGTTTATTTTTCACAGTCCTGGAGGCTGGGAAGTTTAAGATTAAGATGCTGGCAGATTCAGCATCTGGTGAGGGCCTGCCTTCTAGCTGTGTTCTCCCATAGGGGAAAAACACAATCATGAGGCTAGCTAGTTTTCTGGGGCCTCTTGTTATAATATAAGGCCACTAATCCCAAATGAAGGTGACTTCATCACCTCCAAAGGTCTCAACTCCTAATGCCATCATCTTGGGGGTTAGAATTTCAACATACAAATTTTGGGGAGACAAACACATTCAGACCTGGAGATACATTTCTGACTTTTGATTTCCTACATGCTCACAAAGCTCTTATACTATGCTTAATTTCTGAAGGGGCAGAGAGGTGAAAGAGATAACTGTGGGAAATTGTTAGCACAGAGCGATGGAGTAACCTAGTTTTCTTATTTTGATCAATATATATGCAATTATAGAATTTCAGTCAGGACAACACCCGCACAAATTTACAAGGTCTCCAATTACAACCGAGAGGTTTAAATTAAACATCAAGCAGAAATCCTCCACAGCCTCCTTAATGCAATCAAGCATGACCAGAATGATAAGGCAGATTTACATCTTGTATTCACAACTAACAGAGGCAACAGGTCTCAGAAGAGAAAAGCAAAGAAGTTTATTTAAATTTGCCTGGATCCACCATCCTGACAGGTGGCTCTAGGAGAGGGCAGCGGGGACTCTGGGGCTCAGTGATATCTTGGGTGCTGGACTGGGCTCTTACCTGTAGATGGGGTCCTGCATCACCAGCATCTTGCTCTCATCCCATGTCCATTCCTTTTTCTGCAATAAAAGAAGCTGTAAATGAATAAGTTAGGCTTGTCCTCAGTTACAGAACCAGGGCACACACTGAGCTACGAATACTTATGCAAACACACGCATTTTGCTCCTGACCTGACTTTTTCCTTCTAAGAGGCCTGGAGTTGATTCCTCCAAAAGGACTAGTGGAAAATGTCAAGTGTCTAGTCTGATCAGTTTTCTCCAAGCACTTTAGGAGAGTGTCTCTCCAGGCTCAGAGGGTAGGCAGGAGCCAAGAAGGCCTCAGGAAACACAGGGGGTGAAGTGGGGGTGATAGTGTAGAGCTCCAGACAAGCCAGATAAGTTAATTGGTACTTTTGCAGAGTGACCCCTAAAAGGCTATCCATTGTAAACCTAACTTACAGTGAACACAAGAGACTCTCTAAGTTGGGGAAGAGGAGCTGGAGGAGAATGGATTCAATCGCAGTGCTTGCTGAGGTGAGAAGTACCTCAGTTTTAGGGGACATTAGGGTCAGCAGCCAACTATGCCCCCTCAGGTCTGACCTGCAGGTGCAGGGACAGAGAATCCTGCTCTATCCTTGGTCAGAGAGACTGCTGTGCAGGAAAATTGGGGAAGAACACATTCATCTATGAAAGAAGGCCTCAAGAGAGGAGAAAGGGTAAGGAGTATATAGTGGATTAACTGAATGCTTTTAGCTATATGGATTTCTCAGCACAGGGTGACCACTGTCTAAACGTGCTGGGCTTTGGAGGTTGTTAGGCCTCTACCAGGGACTGGTGAACATTAGGAAAAAGCATCTTTACCCAAAGACATTATTACACATACACATCAGCAGCTTTACCCAAACACATTATTACACATACATGTGTGTGCACACACATACATTAACACACCATTTAATCCCTGAATTTTTACTCAATACCAATACCATCCATAGAGATGGATTTTAGACTGGTTTAAAAACATCCAATATCAAACACTGTTTTATAGACAACAAAACTTCAGTTACATCCAAAAACTAAATTTTTTCTTTAAAAAGATACCTTCCTATAATTGCTACTGACTACCCTATTAAAATGTTAATATATGAATGACCTGCATGGAGCAACACAGAAGAGGGAAACTAATTTCTTTTCTAAGTAAGAATCCCTTCAAATATATATAAATACAGCAAGTCCAGATCATCTTTATACTAAATAATCCCAGGTTTTATAAACATCCCTCACTAGACAAGTTTTCCAGACTACCTGCTACCATAGTTGATTTCTTGGTATGTGTTCTTCTTACCAGTATTCCCCCCAAAAACCTGGTAAAATGAACCAGATCCCTGATCAGCATGGTGTAGAGAAACAGCCTTTTAATGTTCCAGCCATGACACTCCCTCTAACCCAGCAAAGATTGGTTTATAGCACTTTTTTAAATAACCTCGTAATGGGCACACACTAGGCTGGTTTTCAACTGATGCACTGAAATTTTTCAGTTAAAGCCCAAATATCAGCATGTTGTAATCATCCAGTATCACTGTTCTCCACAGTGGGCCTTCAAACAGCAAAATATCATAATATGTTTAAAAGATGATTTGATCTCAGGGCAAAATATTTATGACATAAATATTAAATTAAGCCATATCTATCGCCATGACCTCATATTCTACCTGCACTATTAATTCAATGCAGTTAGCAAAGCAGTATTTGTAAAGCTGTGGAGTCCATCTATTGAGTTGATTTTAGCTATTGTATTTTTAAGTTCTAAGATCCCTATTTGGTTATTTCTTCTTTTTCTTTGCTGAGATTCTACTTTTTCATTTGTTTTAAAAGTTTTTGCAGCTGCTCATGGAAGCATGTTTGTGATGGCCCCTCAAAATCTTTGTCAGATAATTCTAACATCTCTGTTATCTTGGTGTTAGCACCAATTGATTGCCTTTTTTTTTTTTTTTTTTTTTTTTTACAGAGGTTGATATTTTCCCCATTCCTGGTATAGTGGGTGATTTTCAATTGAAGCCTAGACATTTAAGAGTCTAGATGTTATTTAAACTTTCTGCATTCACTGTCTTACTGTGACACTAAATAGGGGAGGGTGTAGGATGCCACCTGAATACCCACAGGAAGGAATTAAGGCCAGGTTCCCACTCGGCTTCTGCGGACACACAGGGGGAAAACAGGCTCCTCATTACTGCTGGGTGTGGGTGGGAGTTCTAGGTCCACACTGGGCTTCCAATGACACCACCCTGGTTTGTGGGGATAGGAGTGCCTTAGAGTACCCACGTGGCATCTGCTGACAACATGCACAGAGTGGCTTCATGACTGCAGGTCACTGGTGGAAGGGTAGCTTCTCCACAGACACCACCTGGGAAACAGGAGCGAGAAGGGTGGTGTGGGACACTCATTACCAGCTGGCAGGGATGAAGGGCCTGGTACTTTTCTCAGCCTCCTGTGGCACCACCCGGAGCGGGTGTTGGGACACCTCATTACAGCCCAGCAAGGGTGGAAGCCTGGGCTCCGGCTCAGCCATGGGGGCCTTGGTGGTGGTGAGGCCGGTCTTCCGTGGATTGTTTGTCTGGAGGAGAGTGGTTAGTCTGGAGGAGAACAAGTTTTCTGCCTTGTTATGCTGCCCCTTTTCTCCTCTTTGGCTGGAGAGTGCAGGCTTTTGTCGGGGCTTTGATGTCTGTTCCCACTGGCTTGCGTGAGTTGCCAACTTCTTCAGCTCTGTATCTGGGATATATGAGGTGAAAAGAAACCCAGGGAATTCACGACTATGTAATTTGTGGGTCCCTAGGTTCCTAGCCAGACTGTGCTCTCTCTGCCTCTCAGAATCTTCTGATGTTTATTTTATATGTAATGTCTAGGGTTTTCTGCTGTACTTAGCAGGAAGAATAGGGTAAAGTGCATCTACTTGGTTTTCCCAGAAGCAAAAGTCTGGTTCTCATATCTATCATGTTTTTTCTAAACTACAGTTGCCTCGGCTCCACCTCTTTAGAGACATGAATACAGTGGGTTGGAGGTGCGGCCCCACAATCTGTAGCTGTAACAAACATTTCAAGTGGTTCTGATGTGACCCTTGGGTTGACAGCCACTGCTTTACACCAACCAGAGGGTCCCTTCCACACACCACATACTCCTCTGGAGTCTCAGGCCTGGCAACGGAAGGTCTCCTTACATTTCAAAGAGTCACCTGACCATGGTCTCATTAACCACTGCCTCAGGCCAGGGTCCACTTCAGTGTACTCAGGAAGTGGCTGCCATGGCTTAAACACTTGGTGGGGCATCCACAGACATGCTCTGCTCCTGAGGGAATGCATCTTCCCTTCTCTCATGTTCTAACCATCAGGACAGTCTGCTCCTAACAGTCCTTGCAGCTCGGCTGTGATTTTCAAAGTGACTGAGAGGAGCCAATGACCCAATACACTAAAGAGGCTGGGAAACTCAATGACACAGCCACATGCCCTGTCCCCTTCTGAGGAAAGCAGCCCCAAAGAGGGTCTGAATGAGGGTGATATGGTGCATGCTGCATGTGTCTAAGGAGGCCAGCTGTGCTAACCTGGCCATGCCTGTCTGGGGTCAAGATCCCCACCTGACTGACCATGCGGAGCCAGCAAGGGGCTGGCATTCAATCACCCAATCACTGAGCTCTACGGTAAAAAGATCCAACTCTACCCAATTGAATCCTCTCTTTGGGAAATATCAAATCCTAAATGGAGTCTAGGCTGAGTCCCAGTCACGGTGGACAGTTTTTGTGACCTGTGACTCTATTTCCACTCACACTGGCTGCAACATTGAGAGAGAAGATGCATTGGGCGCCAGCTCATGTTTTCGCCAAGCCTTGCCATGCGCCTCCATTATCAAAGCTAACCTGGGCAAGGCTCTTCTCAGCAATTCTACAGAATGTAACTAAGACATTCATTAAAAGGAAAGAATAATGAGGCAAAATAATACAGAACAACTATTTTCTTTCTCTGGCAGATGTGAACAGGAGGACAGGGAAACCAGGCTCCCAGGGCCCTTTGTATTAATTTAATAATGAGCATTGGCAGGGTCTACAGAAGCCAAAACATACTTTACTTTTAAAAGAGGTCCCATCACCCATATAGAATGTCCTGAGGAGGGGGAAAACCACAAAGATCTTTTTACCTACTTACTTATTTTCCTTTTCTGAAGATCTCTTTAAAATCTAGTCCTGTCTGTCACTTTACAGACCTTCATCCTTGGATGAAAAATATTCAATCTATGAAGAGATCAGGAAATCATCAAGAGATTTTTAACCCCATATCCTCAAGGCCTGAATGATAGTCTAAGAACTTTAGAACTAAAGGGTCTACCTTCACTCCACCTCTTTCAAATAATATCCTGAGGAGTATAGTCACTCAAGCAAGGTGTCACCCCTTGTTAGTATCCCAGCCAAGACTAAAAACAAATTCTCCTGATGTTTGGACTAGTGCTGACTCCACTACTCTGGCACAATTCCAAGGCAATGCAATATCATGAATGGCTTCACTGAGAGGGAGGTTCCACTTCACATATCTCACATGGCTTTATGATTATCACTAATGTCTTGATTCAAGAACAATTTGATTCTTCCCCTCTCCTGGTCGGAAATTGTTTCTCTTATTGCCTCTATTTTGCAAGTATTTTAAAGAAAAACAACACAACACAAACAAACCAGCCCTTCCTCACTTTTCTATATGGCAATACTCTTCTAAGGAAAAACAATCAGGAAAAAAATTTGAAATGAGAGAAGGAAAATAGGAAGAAAAATGAATTTTCTAGACCTATGGGATTATAAATCAAAGTTGGCTTCAAACATAGACAGGACAGAGTTGTATTACTGAACAATAACTATAGCCAAACTCAGTTTAACTGTTTTCAGAAAACCTTGTAGCTCTAAGCTATACTTGAAGTCTTTTTTTTTTTCCTTTATTTTTTTAAAATGCTTGAAAATAAAGACTTGGAGTCTTAGCAGCTGTGATTTCAGTTTTGCTACTCACTGTCCAGGATCGGCTGGGTCTCCATGATATGCCAGGAAGTGAGGACATTTTCATTACAGATGGGAGTGGAAGGAAGGAGGAGGGGAAAGAGAGGTGGAAGGGAGGGGACACACACCTCTAAAGGTGTCAGCACCTCTCTGAGTGCCTTCTGGGGTAAGAGGGCCTTTCACAACCTTATTTACAGCAAACAGCCCAGGGAACCAGCAGGACTGGGCACCAGCAGGGCTTGTCTTTAGCCTCCTTCCACCGTGAGTCCAGGCTTAGGCAGAGTCCCCACTGGAGCACAAGCACTAGCAGCAGCAGCAGCAGGGCGGTGAGGCCAATATGCTAAGTGCTCAAGGAGACAAAGATCTGCCTCTTCACTCACTCCAGAAGTAAGGTAAATGGAGAAAAAATTGTGAGTGGGGAGGGAGTGCCTGGTGGAGCAAATTAATTAGCCCTAGGGGCAACTGCCTGGCATTCTGCCATGCTCCAACTCTGTATGTGGATATGTGTAACTCCTTTCTCTTACTTCTGTCCCCTCCATGCCTGCCAAGGACAACCATGGCACTGCTGAGCCTTTGAGGAGGCCTCTAAACGAGAGTTTATTAACCTGTCTCTCTGTGCCACCTCCTCCCTTCCCCTCTTCTCTTTGTTCCTAAATTCCTTATTCCAGGGTATCCTTAAAAGTCAGTGAGATAGAAGGAATAGCTCAACTTGAAGGAAGGTTCCACTTCATATATTGGTTAGTAAATATTTTCTGGAGAAAGGAAGGTGTGGTCATAGAGTGTACCCCACAGACCACCAGTCACAGGGAGGTCCACCCAAGGGCCGCCGCTGCTGCACTTTGAAATCCTTCATTGTGTTGGTCCAGGAGCCATGCTCTCCACAGGCTGCTCCAGCCAGCAACCGAGCATGGAGGGTTACTAAGGCAGGTACATCCCTAGGGGATGTGGGGTCCCGACAGACAACTTTGGCTTTAGGACTCCCTGAAGCCTTGCCAAGCCTTCCTCAAATGGCACCGAAGTCAAGACCCTTTCGCTAACCTTCCTTCCTTTCTCCCATCTCCTGCACTCAGGGGCAGATCTCCCTGCAGCCTGACAGCCCTTCCAGCCTTTCTCAGATGCTTCCCCCATTTCTCCCACAGGCATTTAACACTGTCTTGGCATCCGCTTCTCAGAGGACCCAGACTAACACAGAAAGTGAGGAGGTAAGAAAGCAAAGATACAGGTAAGTCATCTGTATCTGCTTCACATTTTTCATTCTCATAGTTGATATGGGGAAAAAAGTCCTTTCCTCCATTTTTTGTTTGTTTGTTTGTTTGTTTGTTTGTTTTGAGATGGAGTCTTGCTCTGTCACCCAGGCTGAAGTGCAGTGATGCAATCTCAGCTCACTGCAGCCTCTGTCTCCCAGATTCAAGCAATTCTCCAGCCTTAGCCTCCTGAGTAGCTGGGATTACAGTTGCATGCCACCATGCTCGGGTAATTTTTGTATATTTAGTAGAGATGCAGTTTCACCATACTGGTCAGCCTGGTCTCGAACTCCTGACCTCGTGCTCCGCCCACCTTGGCCTCCCAAAGTGCTAGGATTAGAGGTGTGAGCCACCATGTCCAGCCCTTTCCTCCATTTAGGGAAAGAACTTCTACATATCACTTTTAGATTACTGATATCCACTTTAAAAAGGAACACTGAGGCTCAGAGAAGTTGACATATTTCCCTCCAGGGCCACCTAGTTCAGTGATAAATAAAATCCAACTCTTCTACCTGTAGTCCCATGGTCTGCAACTCCAAATGATGAAATCAGTCTTTCACTCTCCACTGCCAGGAAGTTCTTTGCTTTCCACAGAGGAAGGGGATAGGGGCTTGCTCTGTATGCTTTTGTAAGACCACTGAATGAGGCAAATGCATCTTTGATATAGGACCTTCTCTTTCCTTTATCTGTTGAGTGCAGATGTCAAGTCCTCCATGGAAATTCATAGCCACTTTGTCATTCTAAAAGCTCCTGGCAAGGAATGTTACATGGGAACGGATTTAGAGGTAGGTCTTTCTGGAACAGTGCCAAGAAGACAAAGCAGAGTCAGGAACAATTATCACAGTGGTCTTTTCTCCTTTTGACATGTGGAAATGGATATGGCATCCTTGAGGCCCTTCCCCAGGAATGCTAAAGTAGAGGAGAAATTTGTATTGGCATTCATTTCCTATCCCTACTGAAAATTATCAGTAGCCATATCACAAAGCCTACAAGCTTCACCATTACTCATGCAGCATTATTCACACACCTAAGAGAAGTGGTGACTTAAAAAAGAAAAAAAAAACTTGCAAAGGCCATATAAACTTTGTCTGACAAGTTCTCCAGGCTTCTAGATAGAATGGGATTATACTGAAGAAAAAAAAAACTATCTCTCTCCTTCAGTTATAACCTATGGTATAGGAACGTGCATTTCAAAATTGAAGCAGTTAAAAATCCTCCCACGATGTACACAATTCCTCATAGGCTTGTTTTTAAAATGGCAGAAACACAACATGGTAGAAGGAATACTGGATGAAGTTTAGGGCTTAGATTTACACCCTGGCTGACAGTAACTTCCTGGGTGTCCTAGAGACAGTCACTGGACTTCTCTTATCCTCTGTTGCTACATCTAATCAATTAGAGGATCAGACCAAATCATTTTTTAAGTCTGTTAAATTCTGGTTCTATAATTCTGAGTGCCTCATTTTCTTATGCAATTCGATCTGAGTTCTGTTTCCATAGTAACTAGCACTACTGTTTGGGCAGGAACAGCGTTTGTGATGTAATGCACCCATGACAGAGTACAGGTTAGGAGTTAAAGACCCTGGCTTAATTAATTAGGCATATTCTATGGAGTAGTTTTTGATCTAAAGGGGTCCAAAGAGATCAGTACAAACACACAGCAACAGAGCAGTGGAAAGAACCTGCTTGGGATTTAAGTAAGATGAGGTTTGAACCTTGACTTCATCACTGATGGGATCTGAGATTCAGGCAAGTTGCTCAATCTGCTTTTGAACAATGTAAGAATGGTATCTACCAAATAGGACAGTTGTGAAAATTTGTTAAGTGTAAAGTGCATCAAACAAGGTCTAGGCAATGGTAGGTACTCAACATTAGTGTTAACTATGATTATTAGCTGTTCTCATTATCACCGTAGTGTGTAATTACTTGCATCGGTTTGCTCCCTCTGGTCCTCTACTTTTCCAAACAGATGAAATAAGATTTGAGGGAAGACATGGTCCCTGCCCCCTAAAGCTAACAGCTTATGGGAGAAAGAGATAAATAACTACAATGCAAAAAAAAAAAAAAATAACTACAATGCAATCTTATAAGAGCTGCAACAAACCTATGTGTGCATTAGTGACAAGAATAATTTTGCTGGGAAGGGTTCATATCTAATATCTTTATATAACCTATGCAGCTCCTTGAACATGGTAGACGCACAATGAATATTTGTTAGTGGATGGAGCCTTTTTAGAATGTTGCCTTAGGGAATCCCAACGAAGTTATTGGTTTATAAGAGAAGCCAAAGAAAAATCCCTTGGATGAGGTTCAAGACTAATCTTCCTTATTCAGGATTCTACTCCCTAGCAAATGGTGCTGTAGTGTGATTCCAGTATTATAATAACTAATCATTATAGATACATGAAAAGATAATTACTTGAGCCTAGATGAGAGTTGAAGAAAATGTACTGATTGAGAGACATCAAAGTACAGCTAATTATCTCAGTAACTGGGTTCACATTACAAATTCAACCTAAGATTCATAAGGAATTTGAGATTCATTATCTGTTGGCATCAGTTCAAGATGACAGCACTTTTAGATACTTGTTATTATAACCAACAAGATGTTTTTTACATATCAATGAGAGTTGATTATATTTGGTTACTGCCTACACTAGTACAATGCACCTGAACAACTACAATTAATACTACGGAATTAGCAATTTCTATGCAAGCCTTCCTATTTTTGGTAAAGAATCTCAGCTTTGGTTTTTTTTTTTTTTTAAACAGGCAGATTGACAGGAAGAAAAAGAGGGAAGACAATATAATAAAAGTAACAAACTAGACTTCATTTGATCCAATTGTTAAGTAGTTATTTTCTCATAATTTAATGACATTATCACACATAAATAATGTTCAGTCATGCAGCTAGTGAACAGCCATGATTACTGAGAACATACTACTGGCGTCAGGTGTCCAGGCAAGTGCTGGGCTTACAAAGATGGCTCCTGCCCTTAAAAAGTTCCCTGGAGGGCAGGGACTCCCTATGAACACAGTTCTCAGCCAGGAAACACATCACCCTTCACCAGTTACAGACAGTCTGGGAGAGAGAAGAGGCTGGGTGGCTGCCTCAGAGATGTTGAACCTTATAGGGTCTCCTCCTGCCCTAGAGGGTTGGGAAACAACAATACAGTGATCCACTGAGACTCCAAGGTCTGTTTTGTTTTTTGTTTTGAGTCCAGTAGGTTCTCAAAGACCTAAATACATACAGGTGACTCATATATACACACAAACACCAAAAAGCATGGTTCCAGAGCTGGCACAGAGTATTTGAGCTAGAAAAGTTAAAGTGATCACCTAATTGAACTCTCCACAGTTGAAGCTGAGAGAGACAAAATAACATGCTTAAAATCACAGGCCAGGAAGGGTAGAGCCAAGACCGAAACCCAGGTCTTCTCATCTGGGCTGGGGGTTCCTCCCAGCCTGTCACACTGACCCAGTAAAAATCAACAAGCTAATTGTTAAAGGAGAGAGCTATTTAACATTTTTACCCACTAGCCTGGCACAGGTACCCATGTACAGGCTGTAAATGATACCACTTCCTTAGGGCTGAATACAAGCTATGGCTGCCTCTACACCTACAGCTACCTGGCAAGAGCTCTAGTTCTTAACCTAATCATGATGGTGATCGGTGAAATTTGCCAAGTATTCCATTTCCTTGGAAAAAATTGTGCATTTACACAATGTCATGTCTACTCTCACCTCTCTCAATTCTATAAGCAGAGAGAGAGAGAAAGTGTGCATGTGTGTGAGTGTGGGGGTAGCACTCAGATACCAGAGAACTGTCACATGAGAACAAGATGACAAAAAGCCTGATTGCTGTTAATGTGCATTCATCTGTCAGAGATGGTGTAAAATGAACCCCATGATTAAAGTCATTATTCAAATCACAGCCATGGCCCTGAAATGGACACTAAGCGTGGGTGCAGGAAATAAGATGGGAGGCTCCCCTTTCCCAAGCCTGGCTTCAGAAGAATCTAGGAAAGACCTGCTAGACCATCTTTTTTCTGGGCCAGCAGGCGGGTGAAGCCACACTGGAGATTACCCAGGATGTAGTTGCAAAGTGAGGCACGAGGTTCCAGGCACTCCCTCAGGGAGATGCTACTCCAGCCTGGCTTTCATGTGCTTAGTGGAGCAGGGGCGACTTCTCTCCAGGTGATACCTCAGCATACCACTGCCTTTGTGTTATGTGATCCAACCTCAGTTTTCTCACATGCACCACATGTGAGAAATGGGAAAGCTACCACATACGGTAAAGATACATGGGAGAGACAGTGAGGTGGGAAGTAGGACTGTGCCCTAAGGGCAAAACTATGAAGTTGCCCCATGATGGACAACATTAGAGGTGTATGAAGATACCTGAAAGAGACAGAGCAGCCCCTACGACAGCAGGCCTTTACATTTAACCTAATTGAAAGTAAACAGGCTGGGCTCAGTTGCTCACGCCTATAATCCTAGCACTTTGGGAGGCTGAGGTGAGTGGATCACCTGAGGTCAGGAGTTTGAGACCACCTGGCCACCATGGTGGAACCCTATCTCTAATAAAAATACAAAAATCAGCTGGGCGTGGGGGCAGGCACCAGTAATCACAGCTACTTAGGAGGCAGAGGCAGGAGAATCACTTGAACTGGGGGTAGAGGTTGCAGTGAACCGAGATCACTCCACTTCACTACAGCCTGGGCTAAAGAGCGAAACTCTGTCTCAGGAAAAAAAGAAAGAAAGAAAGAAAGAAGAACGAAGTAAACAAAGATATGTCAGTCAGAAGTGGATGTGTAGTGGGGTGGTGGAAAGATTCTGGGAGTGTCAGCCATGGAACTATAGAAGTCGGAGAGATGCAGAAGCAAACCCTGGCTGTCTGTCAGACAGACTCCAGGAAGAGCATCTGCCCAGTAGGGCCACTAGGAAGATTCAGTGGGCCCGTTTATTGTGGAGCCTGAAGCCAGCAGACATGCCTGTCATACAACGAGCTGACTGCCCCATTTCTGTGCTCATCCAGCAACCCTCTAATAATTTGCCTTCTCCTATCACTTGCCTCTAGTGGAAAGTAAACATGTCTGTCAGGATAACATGAGTATCTGGTCCAGGAGATTGTTGTATGTCTCAGAGTGAATTAAGAAACTCTTGGTTTAGTTCACACATTAGTCTCTTTGAGCTTTGTCAGTGTGAGTTAGCCTCCTAAGGCTCACAGGTTCGAAACGGATGAGTCTCAACTTCTGACCTGAAAGACCGACAGCTCAGCCCCTGGTGGGCCGCTCAGTGAGAAAACAATCTGTGTGGCTGCTTCTCCCAGGTGACTGGGTGCCATGACACTGACCAAAGGAAACATCCACAGAGACTGCTTAAGGGCTGGGTGCTGATGGGTGTGAAAGCATCGTGCAGCCTGTAAAGTGCCCACAAACAGCAATCATTTTATAGACTGTTCCATGAGGGCCCTGAGTCACCAGCCCCCTCACAGGAAGGGCTGAGGAAAGTAATCTTACACAAGTGTCAAAATTAGCCCATTGTTTTCTTCTGTGAATATCTCTTGCTCAAATTCACATTGTTGTCATCCATGATTTCTTTAACTGGGGTCCAGGGGCTTGACAGGCCTCAGCTTGCTTCAGCAACTACCCTGCTCAGGAACTCCTAGAGAACAATACTCTAAAGACTGTCCCGTGACTGTCCACTGTGTCCACATATGTGAGAGGAGAAGAGGCAAAACACAGGGCCCCAGATGAAGAACAAGATGGCACCCATGCACACAGTAAAGGTTTATAAAGGCAAAGATATTTAATCCCCTACAATCGGGAATTTTGAAGAAGTTGGTTCTTTATAAACCATATATCTTGTTTCTTCATACTTCCAAGATCATAGCCATAAAACACTTTCTAAAACCACCAATGAAAGTATTGAGGGAGCATGAAAGAACAAGTTTGGGATTAATATATGAGAGACCTTTGTAACCATCCAGAGAAAAAAGGGGCTGCCTCAGGAAGTAGTAAATTTCCCATCACTACAGGTGTCCCCCTTGAAGGATGTTATAAAGAAGACAAGCCCTTGGATTGATATGACAAGTCCCCTTTAAGATCCCTCTCAATTATATGGTTCTTCAAATTTATGTTGCCTACTATGATGCATTTGTCTCTGCTTCCATGACCTCCACACTCTCTCCCTCTAGCCCTGAGATTCAAGGTCTGCTTTAAGTCCCATTTGAATTAAGAGCAACTGAGATTTGGAACCAAAAGCAGCTCAGGAGGTCTATGTAGGACTATGATATTGTGCTACCATCAATACATGTAAAACAAGGGCATCATAAATAAAAAATAAAAGCATCAGCAGAATTGAGAAACAAGGACAAAAAGGACTCCTCACATATCCTCAATCAGCCAAACTCTTTTCTGTTTCTTTTTGAAAACACATATCCTACCACTGTACGAATCTAACCTTTCCAAGGGGTTAATGTTACTCTGCCACAACCACATTCAATTAACACAAAACAGACAAGTGTTTAAACAACATATGCTCACTTCCTTGTCTCTCCCCAACTCAGAGGAATGTGCACTGAATGGATCAATCCCCCTGCCTGTCCTCCCACCCTGACCACACCCCACCATTCCTGCACACAGAGCAGCAGCAGTGGGACTATGTAAATGCGGGCTGTAACAGGAGGATGCAAGGACACACAAGGGGGGAATGAAGGTTGCTCTTGAAATCGAAGGGGACAGCTGCTGAGGGAGCCTCCTCTCACTGCCCAGTCCCACCAAACCCTGTTATTCTTACTAAAATTGAAAGTATTTCCTACCATTGAGACTCAAAGGTAAAGGTATGAAAGTGGGGAGGGGGTTTGAAGGCATGGATGACAGGAGGTGACTCCCATCACCTGGGGTATCAGGACTGACTGAGCCAACTGGTGACTAGCCTTTGTCCCCACCTCACCCTGTGCTCTGCTGCAGCCTCTCAGCACTGTTGCTGCCCAAAGCAGAAGAGCTTACCAGATAAGGGAGTGATTCTATCTGGAGAGGGGCCCAAAATAAAAAAGGTACCCCATGCCTACCTCCCCTCCTTTCCTCTTTACCTCAGTTTCTGTGTCAGAGCCACTTACCTTTTTCTTCTTCTTCAGAATCACTTTCACTCCATCCACTGAAACCATAATGCTCACTTTCTTCTTCTTGATGTTCTTGGCTTTAAACTCATACTACAAGAAAGAAGAAAACAAAAAGAAAGTGTAATCTGATCAATCAGTGTATCTACACAGACCCAGCTAACCCTTGCCTGGAAAAGAGGTCCCCAGACAGGTCTGGAAAGCAGCTCCTGGGGGTAAGGAATACTTCAAGGGATACAGAAGCAGGTGGATGTCTGCAGGCAGGGCACAGGCAATCTCTGGGTTAGAAATGGGACTCCAAATAGGCAATACCACTTCTCAGCCATTAGGTAGGGCCACGGGAATGGACCTCCCCTACCCTCATGAGATGAAAACACAGCCTACTTGGAATACCCCATAAAAAAGTCAGAACCTTCCCTCAATAACTCATTCTATCATTTAATGACTTCCACAGTCAGGCAAGTATTCCTAGTGTCTCATCAAAGGCTGCTGAAATGCCATTCCATCCTCAGTGAAGACTAACAGCTGGCACCAATCTTCACACCAAGGTTTTTTATACACTGAAAGATAATTATGAATTCTAAATTATTCTCCACAAGTTTAATTTCAAATTTCCTTTAACTGTGAGTCAGTCTACAAGTCTACCCACGGCCCTGTTAGCCTGAAGATTTTGGCATATCTAGAAAAGATATGGCCTCACAAACCCTGTATTTGTCAAATTTTATTTAATTATATTTTTAATTGACAGATAATCATACACATTCACAGGGTACATAGTGACAAGTCCTGTATTTTCAACTCTTATTTGTAGTCCTAGACAGGGATGCTCTACCCACAGCCCTGCACTGCTGATGGATGTTAGCCTCCTCCTCAATCTCAGCCCTTTCTGGAATTTGCTCATTCATAGCCATCTCTTACACTTGTGCAGCTATTTATATCTGGTGGTATAATTCTACATCCTCCTCAGTGAACTTCATTTTGAGCACTTCTCCAGCTTATTAAAACCATTTTCATCTGGTTCCCATCTTACTAACACCACCTATCAAACTTAACTTGCAAGCTCTCTAATCAATAATCTGGGCTACAGATTAAACAACAAGGAATGCAAGACTCAAAAGCCAACCCACATCTCTTCTCTGGGACCTTTCCCACTCAAGACCTCCTACCATGTTGCCACTCAAGCCTGGAAGAAGGTACCTAGCACCTTGACAGTGCATCTGAAACCTAATTATTTCTACAGTTAGTGTTGATAGACACGAACCTAATCCATCCTAATGAGATAAAAATATAGCCTGCTTTGGAAATCTCATTAGAAATCTAGAACTTTCTCTTGGCTGTGTCTTTTAATATTTTGATGTTAC